CCACAATGTAATCAGGAAGTGTGATGTTTCCAACTTTTTTTCCTCTGACATGCCTTGTCAGTTTTGAGATCTTTTGTAGCTCCACATGGATTTCAGAATTGTTTTTCTTTCTGTGAAGAACACCATTGGGATTTTTACAGGAATTGCACTGAATCTATATCTTGCTTTAGGTACTATGGATATTTTTGCAAAATTAACTCAATCCATGAACATGAACTATCTTACTATTTATTTGTGTCCTCTTCAATTTCTTTCATTAGCGTTTTATATTTTCCAGTGTACTGGTCTTTCACCTCCACGGTAAAATTTATTCTAAAGTTTTTTTTTTCTTTGAGACTGGGTCTTGCTATGTAGCTCAGGTTGGCCTTGGACTCACTGTGTAGCCCAGGCTGGTCTCAAACCCATGGTGATCCTCCTGCTTCACCCTCCTGAGTGCTGGGATTACAGGCTTGGGCCACCATACCCGGGCTCAATATTTCTCTTCCCCTCCCCTCCCCTTTCTTCCCCTCTTCCCTTCTTTCCTTCCTTCCTTCCTTCCTTCCTTCCTTCCTTCCTTTTCTTTTTTGGTAACTGGAACTGAATCCAAAGTATTTTTTAATGCAATCATAAATGGGATTATTTTCTTTTTTGCTAGGTCATTATTTCCATATAGAGAATTTCTGTATGCTGATTTTGTACCTAAAACTTTACTCAATTCATTTATTGCCTCTAATAGTTTTTTCTGTAGATTCTTCGGGGCTTTTTACATATGGGATGATCTCATCTGCAAATAGAGATCATTTCCACTTCTTCATTTCTGATTTGGAAACCTTTTTTTTTTTTTGGTTTTTCTCTGGTACCGGGAACCGAACTCACGACCTTGCGCTTGCCAGGCAGGCGCTTTTGCCGCTGAGCTAAATCCCCAGCCCTGGAAACTTTTTATTTTTACTTCTCTAATTGCTCTTGCTAGTACTTCCAGTACTATCTTGAACAGAAGTGGCAGGAGTGCAGCCCCGCTTGTACCAGATTTTAGAGGAAAAGCTTTCGATTTCTCCATAGATTATGATGTTGTGTGATTTTTCATGAATGGCCTTTGTTATGTTGAAGGTGTTTCCCTGTATACGTAAACTTCTAATTGAGTTTTTAATTAACAAAAGAAGTTTGAAATGCTTTTCCTGTGCAGGCTGATATGATCATATCTCTCAATCTGATAGTATGATCATATCTACTTATCTGCAGATATTAATCCAACCTTGTAAGCTAGGAACAGATCCCATTTGATCATGATGTGTACTCTTTTTAATATGTTATTGGATTAAATTTGCTAATATTTTGTTGAAGATTGTTGCACGACTGCTCATCAGAGATACTATCTTGTAGTTTTCTTTGGTTTAGGTATCAAGGTGATACTGGCCTCAGAAATATTTGGAAGAATTCCTTCCAGTTATATTTTTGAGGAGTTTAGTATTAGTTCTGCTCTGAAAGTTTGGCAGAATTCAGTTGTAAAGCCATCTGGTCCTGGGTTTTCCTGTGTTGAGTGGTTTTAATTGCTACTTTCATTTCTTTGTTAGTGGTTCGTGTTTTCCTGATTCAACTTCCATAGGTTGCGTTTTTCTAGGAATGTATCCATTGATTCTACACTATTAAATTTGTTGACATATAACAGTCTCTTATGATCCCTTTTACTTTTGAGGTCATAATGTTTCTACTTTCACTTCTTATCTTATATATCTCAATCTTTTCTTAGTCTAAGAGTTTGTCCATATATGTTTCAAAAAAACCCCACAAAAAACAGAATTGATTTTTTCCCTTTTGTTTTGCTACTCTTTATTTCAGTTTTTTCTATTACTATTTCTTCCCTTCTGCTAGCTTCAGGTTTAATTTTTTCCCTAGTTCCTCAAAGTATATTAGGTCACTTATTTGGGATCTTTCTTTTTTTTTGAATGTAGGCATATGTTGATACAAATTTCCCCATCTGGCTGGGCATGGTGATGCATTCCTTTAATGACAGCACTCCGGAGGCTGAGGCAGAAGGATCACTGTGAGTTTGAGGCCAGCCTGAATTATACAGTGAGTGTCTCAAAAATAACAAAACAATTTCTCCATTTGAACAGCTTTTGCTCTGTCTCTGGATTTTTGGCATGCTGTGTTTGTTTTCATTTGTCTCAAGATATTTTGAGTGTGAATGTGGATATGGGTGTATGTTTTTTTTGTTTGTTTGTTTGTTTTTTTCTCCGGTACCAGGAACCGAACTCACGACTTTGCGCTTGCCAGGCAGGCGCTTTTGCCGCTGAGCTAAATCCCCAGCCCCGATATGGGTGTATGTTATTGGTGTGAACCCAGGGCCTTTACACTGAGCTATATTGCTAGCCATGTTTTAAGTTTTCGACAGGATCTTGCTAAATTGTTGAGCTGTTCATGTGCTCTTGAATTTGTGCTCTTCCTGCTTCAGCCTCCCAGAATGCTGGGATTACAGGTGTGTATCACCACTTCTGGCTTTCAAGATATTTAAAATTTTCCTTTTGATTTCTTCTTTAACCTATTTGTTGTTCAGAAACAGGCTGTGTAATTTCCACACGTATATAAATTTTCCAAAATTCTCCTGATTACTGATTTTTAGTTTCATCCTGTGGCGGTAAAGAATAATATTGTACCTCCTATGAATGGGGTGGAGATGTGGTTCAAAGATCTAGATTCACTCCTGGGCACTGCAAAACCCAAACCAAACCAAAAACCCCACTATGAGTTCAGTCTTCTTAAATGCGTCAAGACTTGTTTTGTGGCCTGAAGGAGTATTCTGCCGCTATTGGATGGAAAGTTCCATATATGTCTGCGTTTCTTCCTTTTCATCCATGAATGTTTACTTCATATACTTAGGTTCTTCGATGTTCCATGCAGGTATATTTATTGTTTTGTGTCCCCTGGATGAGTTGAACCCTTCATTATTAAAGAGTAACCTTTTACAATCTCTTCTGACAGTTTCTGACTGGAAGTCTGTTTTATTGATATAGCTACCGCACCCCTGCTCTCTTGGTCACCATTTACATAATACATCTCCTTGTCCTTCACTTTCATCACGCGTGCGCCAGCGAGAGCTTTCTAAGAGGAAAGGCAAGAGATATACTGAGAAGGAACCACCCTCACAGACCGCAGTCTAGTGAAGCGCACTTGTCTACCAAAGGACAGTGCACAGCGCCACTCAGGTTCTTCAAACAGACTGGCAGAAAATGCCTGCAGAGTCTAGCTGAGAAACCAGTAAATGAATGAAAACACTAGACTCGTTACTTTCACACCTAAAAACACTGCTCCTCAGCCAGGCACAGTGGTGCACACCTGTAATCCCAGCAGTCGGGAGGCTGAGGCAGGAGGATCACCACAAGTTAGAGGTCAGCCTGGGTTACAGAGTGAGTTCAAGGCCAGCCTAAACTACATACCTAGACCCTGTGCCAAAATCCAACAGAACTGACCTGAACCAAACCAAACCAAAACCTTGCTTCTCCTCTTGTTCTACTTGTGTTAAATAGTAGGCCACAGTCTAGCCAAGCGCTCAGGCCAGAAACTTGGACTCATACTCAGTTTCTCACTCTAAGAGGCAGGGTATCCCTGAACAATTAAGCAAAATACTAGGGCTTTCTATGGGCAAGGACTCATGGTAGATCCTAATGTACATCAAGAACACAAAACCCTGGATCTCTGGAGCTTCCACAAACAATAAAGTATAAATGAATGTTTAACTGGCAACTATTCTTAGGGATAACATTAGGGGCATTTTATCTGTTGAACTACACATTGTTACATATTTCCTTATAAAAAATAAAAAACTGAGTACCCTAGAAAGTATTTTATAAAAGATTAAAATGAGAGATTTTGACAGAAAAGATTATAAAATTAAAGATTATGAAGATTATAAAATTAAAAGCACAGGATATTATGCTATTAGTACTCATATTGGTCCTAATGACTAGAAGTTAAGGTCTTAATGTATACATGTAGAAAAGAATGGAAACAGAACCAAAAAACAGAATTTTTAGAAAATACAGCCATTAAGCCAGGCGTGGTGATGCCTGCCTATCACCCTAGCACGGCAGAAGGCTGAGGCAGAAGGACTCCAAGTTCAAGCCCAGCCGTGGCTACTTAAGTGAGTTAGTGAGACACTGTCTCAAAACTTTTTTAAAGGGCTGGGGATATAGCTCAGCATGAAGACCCTGGGTTCATTCCCCAGTCACCCATCCCCCAAATATAGCCACTGATATTAAATACCTGATTGATGAGTTAAATACCAGATTACACTTAGAAATGTACTAAACTGAAAAATGGATTTGCTAAGCAAGGAAATATTAGTGGAGAGAGGCATAACAGTCAGACTAGACTGATTATTTCTACTTCTTATCATTTTTATAATTCATATAAATTGTTGTTTTGGCTTTATCATTATCCCTATCGAATGCATTTCTTTTCTTTAAATGGGAATAACTCCACAGACCTCATTAGATTAACATGAACATCAGGTGTTAACGCAACGTCTGGCATAGAGTAATGGTGGTGAACCTACGGCATGTGTGCCGCAGCAGGCTGTTCGTTATCATCGAAAGCTCTAAAAGGTCCGTCAGTGCTGGCCTAGAGCAAGTGTTCCATATCTGTACTATTTCTATCGTTCCACGGAGATATGAAGGTCTCTTCTGTACGTCTTGGTGTTCTCAGCCGTAAGATGGGAATAATACAGTAGTGCTGCTTTCCTACCAGCATTGTTTTGCACATCTGCACTGTTACAGTCTGTACTTTGTAGGTAAGAAAACTGAAGCTGACATAAACGGGGCCAGAAATTTGCCTAAGGTTACAGAATCAGCACTTACCTGGAACTGCAGATAACCTAACTCCAAAGGCTCCTCTCTGAAGCACTGCACTGCACAAAAACCACACTTCCATTCTGAAATCTACACTTGATATTTCCAAGAGTGATTTATAATGATTCAAACTTAGTATTAATTCTAAGAACTTTCTATTCTTTCTTTACCCCTTACCCTTCTGGAAGGTAACTGGAGACGGTACAGCCTTCCTTACTGCTGCTTTCGCTCCGCCTGCTCTTCTCCGGGTGGCCAAGGTGGTGGTTCCTAGAAAGCAGACATGATTGTTTAACCTCCCGAAATGCAGCCAGGAGTTTACATGCTTCATCCTCCAAGCGCTTTGAGGACAGAAACTAACCCCTTCAATCAGCTCTGAATCTAATTAAAAACTCTGCTCAGAATAGGAGCCCAGTAAATGATGGCTGACTTGGACCAAGAAAGCGAAACAAGTGCAGACAAAGGAAGAAGGAACGCTCTGCTTTGAGATTTGGTATGCTTAGAATACAACTGTGACCCTTTTTCAAATGGAAAATGTAGTTTGTAGTATCTCTGGCAGCTGGGAAAGCCAGGGACATAATAAATTTATTAGCAGCAAACACCTACATAAAATGTTAAGTTAACTTTTATCAAGATAATGATTAAGGTTTCTTTCTGTTTGTCCTGCAGTGCCAGGGACCAAACACAGAGCCTCAGCCTTGGTAGCCAAGTGCTCTACCACTAAGGGCCTGATTAAATTTTCTTAAATTTAATCTTTGCAAGCAATTGCAAAATGTTTTACTAGGGGCTGGGGATTTAGCTCAGCGTCAAAGCGCCTGCCTGGCAAGCGCAAGGTCGTGAGTTCGGTTCCCGGTACCGGAGAAAAACCAAAACCAAAACCAAAAACAAAAACACAAAATGTTTTACTTATAATCCTCAACAACTCTCTGAGGTAGATTTTATTTACGTATTTATTTTTAAATGTTGAATCTTGCTATGTTGTCCAGGCTGGCCTTCAATGCCTAAAAGAAAGAGATCCTCCTGCCTTTGCCTGCCCGGTGGCTGAGACTAGAGGTATGCACCGCCACACCAGGAGTGGTTAAGTTTTAAGTAATTATCTAAGAATATCTAAGGGCAAAAATTAGGCAGCAGAGCTAGGGTATGAACCTAGGTCTGGGTGATTCTCAAACCTAGTCCTTTCTTGAAACTAAGTGACAGGCTAGTAAGATAACAGCCAGGCACATGATAGTGTTGTCTGACATGGCATAAGTGCTACAATACCCACCTATTAACATCTGTGAACAATAATTTGTTTATATATAGCTATTTTGGGACAAAAAAGCTAAAGAGCCATTTTCTTATCTATCCAATTTTTCAAGTATTTTAGTTGCTCAGTATGAGGGATAGCGGAAGATGAGGAAGGGAGGTTTGCTATATTTAGTCTGTTGTAGGGCACAAAGTTTACAAGCATCTAGAGTGCAAGACATTGTGCTTGAAGAGGGGCATAAACGTGAATATGGGCTCACACGACAGAAAAATATTTTCAGCATCGTTTATCTCTAGTTTTCACAACCAACATGTATTAGCCTCAACTCAGAAATGACAATGGAGAATTTCAAATTATTTCAAGTTCAAAGAACTAAGTTAAGATCAGAGATGTCTTCAACGACACAGAAATGACGCTTATTCATAAGTGTGTAAACCCTAGAATTTCACCCTAGGAATGGGAATACAAAAGCATGCTGGCACGTGGTTGGTTAAAGAGCTGTAATGCAGCCCTGGTTATGTGGGGAGAGGAGGCAAAGGAAGCAGAAGGAACAGTTGGAGAGTGACGTGAAGGCCAGGGAGAAGATCTGGACCTGTCTGTGTGGGCCTCTGAGCTCACAGCAGAGCCCTCAGCCACATCCCCAGGAGAGCAGAGGAGATGGACAGAGGGTGGCTGAGACAGCCACAGTCAGTGTGCAAGGTGATGAATAAGGCCTGAAGTGGGACAGACACAAGAGGAAGACCTTTCCACGTTATCCAAGACCTCTGCATCAGATATTAAGCAACCAAAATTCAGGGCTTTAAAATTCGGTCAATTTGGGGGAATTTTTAAAATTCTGGCAAACAGTAAATATAAATTTTTTTTTAAAAGAACGCGTGGTTCACTATTTTGAAATTGTAGGGGTTTTTTGTTGTTGTTGTTGTTATTTGTTTGTTTTTTTTGTACCAAGAATCGAATTCTAGGCCTCATGCTTGTCAAGCAGGCACTGTGCCACTGAGCTACACCCCCAGCCCTGATAGTCTAGTTTTAAAACATCCGGATTTTCTTACTGAAATTTGACAAAAACAAGAGTTAAATTTTCTGAAATTTAGAAACTTGTCTATTTTCTGAATTGAGGCAGTATATTGAGGTATATAGGTTCTAAGTGTATAAACTCTAGACCCAGACTGGAATTAAATTTTGTTTCATCACTTCTGGGCAGTTATTTAAGCATTCTCTGACTTGGTTTCCTCATCTTTAAAATGAGAACATAATAGTACCCATATCACAGGGCTGTAATTAAAGAGCAGAACCTGGCACGTAAGTTACCAGAATTTTCAACAGTATATGTTTATACTATATTGTTATATACTTTTATACATTTTTAGTGCATAAGCATTTTAAACATAACTATGTCCTACTTTAGTAATCAAAACCCAAATATATTAAAAATTATTAAAAAGAACTAGATATAAATAATAGATATATCTTCAAATGTGGAAAAGGATGCTTACATCTTTACCAGACAAATAAAAGAAAGATTCCCAAATAAGTTACAAGTAATTCAAATCGCATTAACAAAGGCAATTAGTTTAGAAAGATTCACAGGGCCTTTCTTATTTCAAAGCAAAAGAACAACATTGTGATATAGCTAAGTCTTTCATCAGTCCTTTACATTCTGTTGAAATCAGAACCCCTTTTTACTAAGATTTGTAGCTTTTACTAACAAAACTACAACTTTGCAGACAAGAAGGGACAGGTACAGATCACACTACGTAAAAGAGCTTTTAAAGGGAGGCGAGGAAGGGTGGAGGGGAGCAGCGTGGGAAAAAGAATTAAGACATATCAGGTACAGGTACAAATTCTCTACGATGAATGTGACCATTACATGTGGAAGTCTGTACTAGTAAAAATAAATTACCCGCACGCCCCCCCAACAGAGTTGTAGATCTTACCATGTGGCCGAGGTGAGCCCTGAGGCTGCCCAAGAGGGTTCCCTGAGTGGGTGTAACTTGATTTGGATGCATATCTGACTTTTCCAGGTCGACTTACTGGAAAATTGTGCCCATGCTGATTCTCTCTGCAGTAGAAATTATGTAATTACTATAGCCCGGGAGCATCATATCAATGATAAAGTTTAATATTTGAAAAACCCAAATTATATCCCAGATTAATATATTCACTTAACATTGCTTATTGTGTACCTCAGTGGTGTTACATTTAGTGTTGATAACCCACAACAAATAATTCTATCACAATATATCAAACTTCATTCATTTTTTTCAAAGAAGTTGTTTTTAGTTATCTCTCTACCTATTTCAAATTCTGCATACATTTGGCAGTTATTTATGTACTTAATCATGTGATTCATTCTGAAAAGGATTCAAATGGAACTTTTGGTATTTTGAGTAAACTCCATACCCCGCACACAGGTGAACTGACTATATCTGAATGTATATTGGTAGCATTTCTTGTGACCTCCTAAATCATGTGATTATGTTAGTAATTCTAATCTTTACTTTGTTAAAGGTGGTAATTCTTAACAAAGTGCTGTCAATTCACGCTTATAACATGGATCATCAACAGACCTAACTCTGCATATCTGTTTGCCATATAAAAGAAACTTTGAATTGGATACTTTAACATTCTATATTTAATTATCTCTGCCCAATGGGCTTATAATCCAAACATTAATTTAAGGTGAAATACACAATAGTGCCACAACCAGATGAACACAGCCAGACAAGGAAGGGTGGGGCCAGCAGCAGAAGTGGTCAGCGGTGGGGGCTGGCACTGTTCTGCCAGGGAGAAGTCAGTGGGTGAAAAAACGGATAGAGTTTGGAAGAAATTACAGAAGCAAATCTGAACAGAAAGTGTTACGGCTTGTATCTAGACGTCCCCTCAAAACCTCATGGGCTCACTGATGGCCTTTTGGAGGTGGCTAGATCAAGCATGCATGAACTTGGGTTACTGGTGTGCAATCATTAAGTTAATCCACTGATAGGCTTAGCATAGTTCCAGGTGTGGATGATGGGAACCCCTACTCTGCGTATGGGTGGCACCACCCAAAATGCTTATAGCCTCGAAGAGATAGAAGAGGAAGAGAGACTTCTGCTACTTCTCTTTGCTGCCTGCTACTGCTTTCAGCTGCTTCTTTTCTGTCATGCCCCTCTGCCATGCTGCCCTACCCTGGAGAGAGCTAACTGTGAACTAAAACTTCTACAAACTGTGAGCTAAACAATAAATATTTCTTCATTTATCTTTGGGTGTCAGGTATTTTGTGTCAGCACTGAGAAAAGTAAGTAAGACAGAAACTAAAGAAAAAATAAAGTGCCAGGTGTGGTGGCGCAGGCCTATAATCCCAGCACTCAGGAGGATGAGGCAGGAGGATCACTGCAAGTTCGAGACCAGCCTGGGCTACAAAGTGAGCTCAAGGCCAGTCTGAACTGCATAGTGAGACCCTGTCTCAAACACACACACACACACACACACACACACACACACACACACACACATAATAATAAAGACTGAACAAATATAAATTTTGTACTTCAGGTGTCCTGAAGTGCTTTGTTACAGTATAGTTATAGTTTTGTCTTCTCCTTTGTTGATTTCATAAATTTATAAAGTCCTCATAATTATAGGACTTTGTATTTTCTTTACTTTGTCATCAAAAGGCCAAGCAGGGCAGATGCAAAACACTGAACTTGGGTCAAAAAATCTCCTCAGGCCTGTCATTATTTTGTCAAATGACATGCCTAACTTTGTCTTACCGCCTTGGAGAAGGGCAGCGCTGTCCACAATGCCGAGCAGTGCTGGCTTTGTTAGGTGACGGTTTCTGTGCAGTTGCTGGTAGTTGTACTGACTCTACCAGCAGTTCATTCATCAGACTATAGGCTTGTGAGATTCGCTGACTGTAGTGGTTAGAGAGCAGCAATCTTTAGAAAAAGAAATGAATGAATGAATGAAACATTATTTACTCAGAGTCACTTTCAGTTCATATTTCCAGAGGGAACACAGTGCTTTCACTTTTCTCAATGCTTTTCAAATCCTTCTTTTCATCAGACTTCTGAAAACCATTATGAAGTAGTGTTTTGTTAAAGGAGACTACTGGGGTATTTCCCAAATGTATATGCATCTGGGGATTGGGAAGGGAAAATAGCAAAATTAAGTCATAAAAGAGGAATGGCACAAATAATATTTGAACGTAAATTCTGAAAAAACAATGATACCTCCCATAATTTTCTATTTATTGAACAGAAAGACTATTGTAAGCAAGGCAGTTCTGAAGAAATTGTCTATGCCTAGGGCAAGAGAGGTAGAAAGAATGTCCTGGGCGCAGCTACCGAACTTACTTGTCTTTTTCGTGCTTCATTTTTTGTCTCAGCCTGATTTCCCTGGAAGTCATATAGAACTGCGAAAGAAATGTCCAGTTAATTCACTATTGTTCAGTCCAAGTAATTAAACCACTGGACATAACTCAGCTACTTAGGAAATAGTGTAAAACTATGTCATATTTAATAAAACTTCTATGCAATTACAAAATATAAAAATATTAATTAAAACATCATGTAACTAATGAAATATCCAGTTTAATAAATGAAACATAAAATCTGTTTTGCTAGTTAATATATTTTCTTAAAAAAAGAAGAAACTTATTAAGCTACATATAAAATGCAAAATAATACGTTAGGAATGAAGACCTAAAGCTTGTACTCAATATTGTAATTAACACCATCAACAGCTTGTTTGAAAATGCAGAAATGACACTTAAAATAATCACTTTGATACTGTAAAATGTTTATCAAAAACCTATTGCAGTGGGTGACAAATAAAATGGTTTACAAACAGAAAAATTTGGTAGAATTTTGTGAATTTTGTGAAAAATGATAGGCCATTTCCCCCCACATAAATTCACAAATGTGGCCATTTTTTCCAGAATCACAGAATAAATTAAGTTCATGAGGTACCACTGTCTTTCAAAATGTACCACAAAGCAAACGGACAAATGTCAGTTATTTTGGAACATTAAGAATTTTTTTTTAATTTTAAAACTTAGTTTACTAAAAGGCACCAAAAAAAGATAACTCACATAGAAGTTGTTACATAAGCAACAAAGGCTCAGTATACAAAACATACAAAAAGGAACATTAAGAATTATTGTTGTTCCCTGGCTGCCACAACCATAGTATGTTGCCCCAGGCTGGGCTGAACCCCTGACAACATTGGGAAGCCTGGTGAGTTTGGGCTCTGCCTCCCTGACCAGCGTGCAAGGCAGGTGAAACCTCGCGCATCCTCTAGGGCCTCGGTCTCTACCCGCCACACCCATAGAGTGTCTGCCTGGGCTGGGCTGAGCTCTGGACATCTTCGGGAAGCCCGGTGAGTCTGGGCTCTGCCTCCCTGACCAGTGTGCAAGGCAGGCGAAGTCTCAGACACCCTCTGGGGCCTCGGTGGCTACCCACCACACACATAGTGTGTTAGTCCAGGCTAGGCTGCCACCACTCACCAGTACAGGAGCTACATTGAGCACTGGGGATCTTCACACTCTCTCCTTGCCACTCACAAACAATCAGGACAGTGACTGCACTACAGGGAGTCTCTGGTTCTTCAAAAATGACAAAACAAAGGAGCAAAGTGCAATCCCAGACTTCCACACCACCAAAACAAGTCCAGGAGGCATCAACACAGAAGAGCCTGGAAGTCATACACCCGAAATTTCTGTAATGATAGCAACTGAAGTAAAGAAACAACTCCATCAGGTCACAGAAGACCTCAGATCAGAAATAATGTCTCAGGTGAGAAAAGAAATGACAACAATAATGAAAGAAATGTTCAACATATACAAAGATGACATAGACAAGAAAATAGAAGAGCATAGATAACTCAATGAAACTTTCAGGGAACAATACAGAAAAGAACTAGAAGGTATGAAACACATACAAACAGATATCGAGGAACTTAAAAATTCCATTGAAAGCTTGCAAAACCGCCTGAACAAAGCTGGAGATAGACTTTCAGACCTTGAAGACAGCATAGCCACCAATGAACGTGAAAGGAGGGATCTCTTAAAAACAACAAGGAACCAGGAAATAACAATTCAACAACTGCAAGATGAAGCAAAGAGAAACAATGTCAGATTAATAGGTATTAATGAAACAGCAGGAGTCAACACAAATGACATAAAAAGACTCTTTGCAGAAAAAATAGCAGAAAATTTTCCAGGCATGGTGAAAGAATCAGACATTCAGATAAGTGAAGCATATAGAACTCCACTTAATCATAACCAAAATAAATCTACACCCAGGCATATAGTGATCAAGATCCCAGAAACTCAACAAAAGCTCAGCATATTAAAAGCTGTTAGAGAAAAGAAACAGATCACCTATAAAGGAAAGCCTATCAGACTCACAGCACTCTTCTCAACACAAAGCATCAAGGCAAGAAGAGCTTGGACTGCAGTACTTCAGGCAGTGAAAGAAAACAACTTACAACCAAGATTGATGTATCCTGCAAAGCTATCTTTCAAAGTTAATGTAGAAATAAAATATTTTCATGATAAAGAACAACTGAAGAAATTCATGAGCACAAAACCAATCTTACAAAGAGTACTAAAAGATATACTAGAAAGAGATAAAACAGACTGCAATTTCAAGAATAACAACAGAAAGGAACCAACATGCAAAGCAAGCAATTAAACAGAGGGAAAAAGTGGATCCAACAGCAGGAAAATAGCATGACAAAGATAAGCCAGTACATATCCCTTACAACTATTAATGTAAACAGTCTCAGGGCTCGGGATTTAGTTCAGCGGCAGAGCGCCTGCCTGGCAAGTGCAAGGTCGTGAGTTCGATTACAGGTACTGGAAAACAAAACAAAACAAAACAAAACAAAACAGTAAATGGTCTCAATGCACCAACCAAAAGAAGCAGACAAGCACAGTGGATCAGGAAACAAAATCTAAATATATGCTATATACAAGAAACACATTTAACTCAAAAGGAAATTGATAGACTGAAAATTAAAGCATGGAAAACAGTACTCCACAAGACAGGAACCCAGAAAAGAGTGGGTATAGCTATTCTATGTGCAGACAATGTGAACTTCAAACCAAGTACAATCAAAGGAGATAAGGTCACTACATACTTCTGAAGGGGAAGCTTCAAGAGGAAGACATAACAATCATAAACATCTATGCACCAAAGAAAGGAGCACCCACCTATATAAGACAAATTCTAACAGACATGAAAAATGATATAAGCAGCAACACAATCATAACAGGGGGGGTTTAACACACCACTGTCACAAAGAGATAGATCAACTAGACAAAAAATTGGGAAAGAAATAACAGAACTTAACCAAACCTGTGAACATATGGACTTAGCAGACCTTTACAGAGTATTCCACGCAACAGCATCAGAATACACATTCTTCTCAGCTGCACATAGGATGTTCTCTAAAATAGACCATATACTAGTACACAGAACATGTTTAAGTAAATGCAAAAGGAAGTGAAATTATCCCATGTATACTATCAGACCAGAGTACAATGAAATTGGAAATTAATGACAAAAGAAAACACAAAAACTCCATAAACACTTGGAAATTAAGTAACATCCTCCTGAACAACAAATGGGTCACAATGAAATCACAGTAGAGATTAAACACTATTTACAAACAAACGAAAATGGAGATACAACCTACAGGAACCTGTGGGATGCAATGAAAGCAATCCTCAGAGGGAAATTTATAGTGGTGAACTCCCACCTCAGGAAAACA